AATTTTGTTGTGTTTTAGTTTGCGTTTGTGTATCAGAAAATTTTATTGTGTTTCGAAAAAGATTGTTGTGAATCAGGAAATTTCGTTGTGTTCTGAAAAAGAGTGTGGTGTTCTCCAAAAGATTGTTGTGTTCTCCAAAAGATTGTTGTGTTCTCCAAAAGATTGTTGTGTTCTCCAAAAGATTGTTGTGTTCTCCAAAAGATTGTTGTGTTCTCCAAAAGATTGTTGTGTTCTCCAAAAGATTGTTGTGTTTTCCAAAAGATTGTTGTGTTCTCCAAAAGATTGTTGTGTTTTCCAAAAGATTGTTGTGTTTCAGAAGAGAAATTGAGTTGTGTTTTGCCCCTACGGGCCACCGTAAAAACTGGATTAGGCTTGTGGACGCCTTCCTATGCGGTATGCGAATGTAGCTTGAAGCTCATTTTAAAGGAGGTCACTCCTAAAAAACGTATATATATATTTTTTTGTCAACGCTAATAGAAACCTTGCACTAAGTTTAGCCACCCACCGACGTCTTAGCCTCTAAAGTGCTGGTTTTCCTTCTGAATTTCGTCTCCAAAGAAGCCCAAAATTCGAACATCATTGCCGCCATTTTGAACAGTACTCATCAGCCAGACAGCATTTTCGTGACGTCATTCCGTCCCAGAGATTTTGTCTAAATGGCTTGCGAGGAGCCTTTTAACTACGTCTCTGGGTTATAGCTGCTCATGAGCCATATTATTCTGGGCCAAACATGCTCCAAACTCCGAAATGACAGCATTGAAAAAAAATGAAGTGCGTGATTGCTTGGAAAAAATAGATTTTGCTGACGTAGTGAAGGATGCCAAGTTCGTTGCAGATTTTTCTCCTTCCCGCCAATTTCGAGTCGGACGGAATGACGTCGGCCTCTGAAGTCGCTTCTTTCGAGACGAATTTCTTCACGATGGCGGGCACCTGAGAGGCTGAAACTTTGGTGAGTGGAAAAGCTGAATGTTTACTTGCTATAGGCTAAGACAAAAAAGTAATCGTTTTGGAGTGACCTTCTCCTTTAGAGGAATTTTTCTCAGGAGAATGAGCTTTGTTTTTTCCTTCTTTTTCTTTCTTTCTTTCTTTCTTTCTTTCTTTCTTTCTTTTTTTTCACATTTCCAGCAACGAAGATGTGAAATACAAGGACTTTATGCGAACACCTGTTGTTTTCATTTAACGTCTTAAGTAAAAAAAAAAAAAAAAAAAAAAGTAACATGAAACCACTTTAGTGGAATCGTTAAAATGCGTTCTACCTTCGCGAATATATTCCACGTATATCGAACATGTGTTTACATCAGTGACTTAATTTGAAAAAAAAAGTATATTAACGGGGTTATAGTCCATGAAAATAATAATCTTTTTTGGATTTAAAGATAAAGGCTTCTTTTGAAGGATGGGTTATTAATTTTCTTTTAGGCGCCAATCTGACGGTCCGGCCATCTGAAACTAGTGAAATATCAATTGCAGCGTGTCCTCTACATTTAACGTTTTTTGGTAAGATATATTGCTTACCACTTGAGCACTCAGGCAAACAGGAACTGTCACCTCACGCACAGGAGTTCAAGGGTTAACACTTCAATCCAGAGAGATATTAACTCAGTGAGCGGTTTTTTTTACAATTAAGTAATGGCGAAAATTTCTTACTTTAAGATCTTCTGCGCGAAAATCATGTATAATTTTGGGTGCGGTTAAATAATCTGTTGCTTTTGTCAATTCAAATTTTGTGCAAGAGAATCTGCTGTCTTAAGAATTCTAAGCATTTCCATCATCGTAATAAATATAAACATTTCAAACTTCTCAGTATACAGATGTTTGGATTACTATTTTTTTTTTGTCCTTTTTTTCTCGCAAAACTTAGAATAACAGTATAGAGAATGATCAATCAACATGTAAACAAAGCCCGTCAAACGTCCAAGATCTCTAAATCCACGCAAAATTGAACCCGTGGCAACTAGCACGATTGTTATCTTACTTTTTTGTGTAGGCAATGGATGTATAACGTGACGTATAGGTCGCGTAACCAGTCAAGATGGGCAGAAAAACATTACCGCAGATGTCCCTTGGTAAAACATGTAACAACACAGGCTAACGACTAATAACAATTCTTCCTGCCGACGGCAAAACTCGCACTTAGTTGACCCGTCGTGGAAGATTGTTAGGCCAGAAAGATTTTTAGTTCCATTCTTACCCTGGTGTACACCTCAACGTCAACGAGTAGTCAGAATTTGCATATAAGGACATTTACTAAGAGGCAAAACGGATCCTGTTATTAACTGTCGCATTACCTATTTTTCCTGGGCTCGCTTTGCTCGAGCTCCGTCACTTATCAATATTCGTAAAATCGTAGTAAGGTTGAAAACATGGTAGAGAAATGCGTGCAGTAGTGTTAATTTGACTACGTCCATACGAAAAATATATATTTATGTAAGTGAAAATTCCCTTGGTTTTGAACAGCAATAGCTAGCAAAATAGATTAGTATAAAAAACGCTTTTCAACTTTGTGGGGAGATAAATGCAAACGACTATTTCGAAATCCTGCAAGAACGCTTAGAAAAGAAAAGTTGAGTTGAAGATGAGGGCTTTTTTAGATTGCATCTCAATTTAGATTTTCTTACAAACGTTTATAAATTGAAGACAACGCGCGATTGAAAAAAGGTAAGAATATGAGGACAATTTGACGACACGTTTGCGCAAAGACACTGTTTCAAGATGTAAACGTTCAATTCCTTTAGCGATAAATGTACTGTAATATGTATTGTACTAGGGAAAACGGGGATGAAAACGTTCATTTGTTATCTCGCTATTGAGTTTCGCTCTGGGGTAAAATATTTAAGGATTTCCGATATCAGATAAATTTTGTTGTCACATTACTCACCTTTAAAGACATCTTCCTTCTTTATGCAGGGCTCTGCTTTGGAAAATTCGAGCCAGTTAGGATAAAGATGAAATTCAAAGAGCAGCAAAATCCGGTATAGAGCTTTTTTGTTCATGCCTCTTTTAAAATCTGTTACAGAAAGCCAATATGCTGCTTCTTGGCATATTGACACTGTTGGGAACAATAGAATGGAATTGTTTGGCAGAGGGGGAAGAAATAAATTAACGCCTGGTAAATAAGCAATCGGTCCACGGTTTCTAAGGGGGTGGAGGAAGCTACTTTTACTTGATAACCGATTTACTTTATCATTATTATTAGTATTATAATTCTTAGGTTTCCTCATTTCTGTAAACTATCTTTTGCCTTCTTGCAACGACTTTAATACAATTGTTATTGTGAATAGTTTTGTGTTGTAAATAATTATCATGTAAAGTTTTAGTGAAGAATTTTCATGAGCCCAATAAAATTGTTATCGTTTAAAATTATTATTATCATTATTATTATTATTATTATTATTATTATTATTATTATTATTATTATTATATTTAATTCCGCTCTGGTGTAAAATATTTAAGGATTACCGATTGTTGTTGGATGATAATGACGATGATGATGATGATGATGATGATGATTTTATTTTAAACGTGCAGCTGAGAATTGTTCAGGAGACTGTAACTGAGACGAGTGGTCTTTTGTTGAGAGTAGGGTAATTTTTACTTGAAAATATAGACCATGCACTGAATTTATTTGAGAAACGCCGTAAAAACCCTTGACGGTCCTTTATATCAGGCAGCTTAAGCAACGACGACTATGACGCCAAGGACGACGCCTAGTCAAAAATGAATTTAAATTTTACAAGCGGTATTCGCAATTGTCTAGATCTGTTCGGTGCGCCAAATATTCTAAAATCGGGCTTAGGCTAAATATCCAATGAATACACTCAATTCCAACTGGAAATACTGAAAATTAGCCGTCGTCGTTAGCTTCAGACTACGCAGAACTTTTTTCTGTCGTTGCTTTTTCTTTTTTCTTTCTTTTCTTTTCTTTTTTTTTTTTTTCACAGGCAACGATTCTGAACGCACGGGCACAGCATTTGGTCTGCTTATTAAACCATTTGCTTAGTGAAATTGTCGTTGCCGTCGCCGTCGTGGTTTGCTTAGGATCACTACTGATCGAGTGACACGTAGTTGTTTTTGTTAAGATGACTTATGGCCGGTTGAAATTTCACATGCACAAGTGCTGCCTCTTATGCTTTTATATATTTATTCATAAACAAGTAAAAACTAACGATCAAAAAAAAAAACCGACGTTTCGGTATCTTCATGGCGCCATTGTTAAGGTAATGGAAAATATTAAGGAATTTAAATTCTGGGAGTCAAAAAAAGGTGTAAAAATGAACTTACATTAAGAATGCGAGGCAGAATTCTTCTTGTTATTATTCTTTTATCTAGCCGTCGGAACAAACTCATCTTCATATGACTGTCTGTATATTCGAAAAGACAAAGCCACAAAATTTGGTATGTCACTGATAATCTTGATGCAGTTCTGTCCTAGATCTAGCTTTCGACTGGGCTTATCGTAGCTCAAATAAAAGGAACTAACTCTCCTGTATGCTTTTTGAGGCCAGAAAGACTGCATTCCCGGTCTTTTCAGTAAATCATGAGCTGTACGATTTAATTAATAATGGTAATAGGACTGAGTGGGGTCCAATTCGGTCTGTTATCATACGAGTGATTAACAAAATCGGACGACCGCGAAGTGGGAGTCCGATTTGTTAATCACGAGTATGGTTACAGACTAAATTGGACGTCGCGTAGCCCTGTTACCAATTAATTAAAACTATGACAAAATTCGAGAAACGAACAAACCATCGATTGAGCGGTGAACGATTAAACGTCGTTATGAATGCTGAAAAACACAGCAGTTTACTCAACAAAGTGCACCGCAACAGCGCGCGCAAAATGACGCGTACTGTCTAATTACAAACATGACGCGTACAGTCTCCAATTAATGCTCAAATTTGGCTGCTGATAGCCAATCACATTCGAGAATTTTGTTGTAGTTTTGATTAAGAGTGTAATCAATATGAAATGCGAGTCTAAATCAATACAAACCTGCACATATGAAAACCCCGGCGGAGAGCCGATCTATAGGTTTCCAAAGGCCTGCATCGTCCTAAATGGATTAAAAAAGAGCTTCCTACGAGAATCGATTAAACTTCGCGCAAACTAGGCCATAACTCTGAGTAAGCAAAAACTACGCAAGTTGTTCACGTCATTTATCGACAGGAAAACCACGCATCAAATTCCTTCTGCGCTCGCGAATCACAGACAGCTCTAATTGTTAGCCAAGCCGAGAACGCCCAAAATTGATAAAACAAGGAAATGCTACTTACATCAGCGCTTGAAGTGATTTTCTTGACTCTGTTCGACGCCAGGCGATGTTGGACAGAGTTCACATGACAGTATTCGACCAATCATATGTCGTCTCAGCCGGAGCATCGGCGGACCGTATTTTCGTTGCGAGTTGAGAGTAGGTTGTCGTTTCTCGACCGATTTCTGCGCTCATCAAGAGAATCCAACGAATCTTTTCTGGGAGCTGCTAGTGTAATATTTAGGCCAGGTAAGGAATTTTTTATATCAAATTAAGGATGGTGCCTACTTTTGTTAGTGCGCACACGTTCTGCGCATCCCGCAAGCCATGGTTTAAGCGCTACGCGCGCGCTGGGGTTGACATTGATGCAATCAGCTACGCTACCAAGTACACGACTAAAATGAAAACAAAATTATCCTACTGTGACCAAATCAAGTTTAATGAACCTGTACTTAAACCAGGAACACCAGAATAGCAGCATATCGCTAACCATTAACTGTCAACGTCTTCCAGCTGAAAACCTAGCTGTTATCTGTCGACAATTATTTTTACAATAACTGTCTAATTTCTCGCTCGCTGATTGGCTCATTTTTATCATCAATAAGAGTACAGACGGATACAATTTTAATTTATGCAAGCTTTTAAAATCAACTTTCAGCTGTCAAACTGTCAACTTTTTAACCAATGAGATTTTATTGACTTTTTTTAAGTAGCCAATCGAAAAGCGTGAAAAGCTATTGACAATGTTTGCGTCATTTTGAAAAAACTTCACTTATCTCTGTTTACGGCAAGTTTACGGTGTCTTTTCCCCTTATTTATAAGGCCCGGCATTTGACCGTTTTGGGATCTTGTTACTGTAAAAAAGTAAATTGACGTCAGTTTTTTATGCGTCTGTCCTCTTATTGATAACAAATTTCGTCATAACAAAAAATCATAGTGTAGATGATCTGCGATACAGCTACATGTACAAACTTGGTTACAGTCATTGTGAAGAAGTGCTGTGGAGTCTTTTTCTGGCAAAATATTTAACATCTAATATAGAAAATGTAAAAAGAAGAACATGACCACTGTGCTGTTGACCGCAAGACTTGCAATGAATGAATTTAAAGTGACAGATACTTCAATGATCGGCATAGCACTGCTCTGAGTAAAGAATTCCCTCGACCCATGTTCTAAGAGATAGTTGTAATGCCCTGAAAAATGTCCATGTTATAGTCCTTCCTCGATGTCCTCCACCTCCAGTTTTCTCTATTTTGTGGTTACTGCGCCCAATGTTATCCTTCTCAGTGAGGAGTATATCATTTGGCCAAAACAATTTCATGTTATTCAACTAGGCCCTTTCTTCATTGAGCCCTATTTCCCTTTTAGTCGCCTCGTATTCACCGAGGACCCAGGAATAGGTGTTTAGACCAAAATACAAGTTACATCCAGTACCCTAGCACGTCAAAAGGAGAGAATTCTCAGTGATCAGTTTGAACACTGATATTGCCATTGGCAATGTCGCAAGGCCAAAATCGTGTTTATTGCGTTGTCTACAAAATACACAATTATACTTTACATTAATTTTTTATCTGTAAGTTGAACAAGAATATACTGAAAGTGTGACTTGGTAGATCTTGGTGCAGGGGGCCAGTACAAGTATTTTTGCCACTTACATTGATTACCTTCAACTTAGGGGTTGTTGATCCAAACCATATTTTACTTCCACAGCTATCAATCTACCCTAATGGTTTTTTATCCCATTTATTTCAATTTAGCAAGTTTTGTTATTTTAAAAGAGCCATTGCTATATTAGCAAGCCGTTGATCAGTGATTCCTATTAATTAGTAATAGTAATTGGACCGAGTAGAGTACCATCCAGGGATTTATTAAATCCATTTTGAAATCACTTGTTTTCCTTGCAATCTGATTGGCTCTCAACGGTGCGATTTATTCATGAGTCGCACTAATTTTTGCTCTTAAATCGCACCTCTTTCTCAGCCAATGAGAATGGGACAGTAAAACAAAACAACCAATCAGATTTCAAGGTTAGTTTGAAATAACCAATACAATTTTAGGAGAATGAAAGACAAAAAGCCATTGTGTGGCGAATTTTGCAACCTCTATTGCCAAAACAACAAAACATAAACAAACGAAAAACACAAAACAACAAATCCAGAGCCATCTGAAGAAGGATGCTTCCAGGTTTCCGGCAGTTTTAAACGAAGCAATACAACAGCTCAACACTGTCGCTCTGAATAAACACAGTGAAAATACGCCCCGCTCCACAAAACAGTGAATGAATGTCTTCCGAAGCTGGTGCCAGTTCCGCCATCTTGAATATATTTTGAAACAAATGGCGCCGCAAGAACTTGACAAGGTCCTGAGCATTAAGTTCTACGCCAAGGTCAAAGAAAGAAACGGAGATGATAACGAGCCTGAATCCCTTAAAATCATGCAGAGCGCCACTGAACAGTACTTAAAGAGAGAAACTGTCCACTGAGCATCGTGCATTCGAGGGAATTTCACAACTCAAAAGAATTCCATCGCAGAATTACACAGGCTGCACCTTCAATTCCTTCTCCGAAGACAACGAGAGGTCTCAGCCAGATCTACAGAAGAAAGGAAGGCCTTCCATCACTGATTCAGGCGACAAGAAGGAGACTGTTTTCGTTCTGACTTCAGAGCTGCTTGTTCCGTTGTTATGCTCGAATGAGTTTTGGTCACATAACATCTAAGTCTTTCTGTTTTGCGCGCTTAATGAGACGTAAAGGCGTTTCCGGTTCCTCTAGTTTTAACAAACCGGCTGCCGGATCAATACACCAAAATCTTAAATTTAAGGCGATAAAATTGTGAGATTTCAAAATGGATCTATTAAAGTGGCAATTGAACTTGGTGTTGTGTAATTTTGGTCTGAAATCATACTTGTGATTTTGAAATTACCAGTATGATTTCCGACCAAATTGCACTCCACCCAATTCAATTACCATCATTAATCACGCTAGTAATTTCGATTTGAAATTACGAGTACGATTACTCCCTGAATTGTACGATACGAGAGGTCCAATTACTAATTAATCGTATCTATAACAAATTTCGGAATTAATAATGCCTTTTGAGAACTTCTTTTGTGCGAAAACGAATGCAGTGGTTTTCATAAGTTTTGAAATTAAAACTGTGGGAAACTTTGCGAAGGAGGCCATTAAAGTGCCACTATAATGAAATTCTCGATATCCATTTCTTTACATTTTCGCACACGTTAGGTCTTTCCTAGACATCTTGCCAAATTTCTATTTTCTACGAACATTAAAACTCCTGGTTTTTGGACCTTAATTTCCGAGAATTTACGGCCGCCATTAATTTTCCTTGTTTCAAGTCCTGGTTAAAAAATTGGAGAAAATGACGTCACTTTCTCAAAAATACCGCAGGGGTTGAAATTATGATAGCAATTAATGTAAAAAATTGCGCGAATATATGAGCAAAAGTTTTTGTTACCCTTTATGCGAATTGCTGTGCTAATTGTTATTATAATTTCAACCCGTGTGGTACTTTTGAGAAAATGACGTCATTTTCTCAAATTCTCAACCAAGACTTGGAACAAGGAAAAATAATGGCGGCCGTAAATTCTCGGAAATAAAGGTCCAAACGACATTAGTTCTAATGTTCGTAATAGATTGAAATTTGGCAAGAAATCTAGGAAAGACCTATTGTGTGCGAAAATGTAAAAAAATGGGTATGGAGAATTTAATCACAGTGGCACTTTAAAGCGAGCGTAATTGACGTGTTAATCAGGTGGGTATCCAATTACAGGTATCCAATTACAAAAAGTGTAAATTCCATACCTGTGATTTGACATCCACGTGATCGCGCGGCGATGCGTGGCAAACAGGCGCGCGGAGAACCAACCACAATCGGAAATTTTGTTATAGATAAGATTAACACGAAAATACAGAGCGAAACTCGATTATTCAAGCTTTACATAAGTTTTCAACGGCAAAACATAGCTTTGTTTTCGATTATCCTCACCTTTTCTTTGTAGGTTTTCTTAGCTCTCTTGCCGTGAAAAACCAAGAAAGGGCACATTGTGTTGGCCGGCGATCAATAAACCGATGTATTTATAGATAAGTCGACATATCTGAGAAAGAAAGTGCCAAAGTTAAGCTCAATTCCGGCCATTTTAAAAGTTCGAATTCAAAGATATCTCATAAATGGGAGTAATCTTCAGTTCAACCGTGGAGATTCCGACGTACTCCGAAGCTTCGATTTCTAAAATAAGCTGTACCCCACTGAAAAAAGGCTACTTTGTGAATCGATAAGTCAAGCAGAAGACATCTGCAGCTTTCACTTCGCTTGTGTAAGATTATAGCGGAGCTTCAGCCCGCGAAGCGCGCCAGCGAAGCACCATGGGTAAGCAAAATTGGTAACCCATCAAGCCGAGAAAATTTGGTTATGACGTCAGCGTACGAGCNACGTCATTTTCTCAAATTCTCAACCAAGACTTGGAACAAGGAAAATTAATGGCGGCCGTAAATTCTCGGAAATAAAGGTCCAAACGACATGAGTTCTAAAGTTCGTAATAGATTGAAATTTGGCAAAAAATCTAGGAAAGACCTATTGTGTGCGAAAATGTAAAAAAATGGGTATGGAGAATTTGATCATAGTGGCACTTGAAAAAGGGTTCAAATTAGAGTAAAGGAAACAATTGTTTTCGAATATTTTAATAAATTTATCAATTTGACCGCGCAAAACAATTTCGAAAGCGCCTCTTTGTTAAGTTCTTTAATTTCATTGGTTGATAGTCTGGGTGGATATGGGGTGTTTATGGGGGTGTGACAGCTGATTGACTAATCACATCAGTGGTTATATAACCTGATGAATTTAACATGTGTTCAGCAGCGAAGAGAGCAATTACGTTGACGGCTGGCTAAGCGGTGTATTGCTGATTCTCCCAGGTTTTCTTCAAAATTTTGCCATCAATATCACTTTAAATACAACACCAAGGTAGGTATTACTATTTTCAACACATTAAATCTAGATAATTTAAGCCTTATTCCAGTTTTGAGGGTTATTTGCCAGATGATTCGATGACCGCGACTGCCAAACAAAGTCAAATTTATATAAAACGCATCCGTTTAGTATACCTACTCAATCGCATCGCTCGTGAAAATTCCACAATCTTTATCGCTATTCACAAAGAGCACTATTCTTCTGCAAATGTTTGATTTCGGTAACATTAACGTCTATACAAATTTTCACGGCGAAAACCGTCTTTGTTTTAGAGACGATTGTTGGTTGATCTTGAGCTACACTAGAAAGTTCTGAAGGCGGGCTAACATTTCTATCATTTCTCTCATACTTGTCAGTTTAAGAGAAGTGACAGAAATGTTCACGGTTTTGTAAGTTGAATCTATGATGGTGATGTTCAAATTTTTTTGTACATTATGTGTACATGGCCGCCTAGCCATGTTACTGTGGTTTAATTTCCACTGACCGTAAAACATTGTACTTGATCAGATTGATACGTAGTAAGACCTAGTAAAGTTTTAACCAATAACTTGCCGATAACGTTTGGACAATTAAGCTAAAGTTATTTCCCATTCCCTACTTTAATACCTTTTAACTTTACAAACAGATTTTGTTATCGTCATTTACCCGCCTCCCAACTGAATAAATTTCTATAAATCGCGAACCTTCGACACTTCTTGTAAAATAAAAATAAGAACTTACTCCCTCCCTGTTTAACACTTGACATACTAGAGGTATTGAAAAAATTTCTACGAGCCTGAAAATCTATGTCAAGTTATACAGTAGAATAGTGTAGAACAAGTATGACAAGAAATAAAAAAAGGAAAATTCACTGGACCGTCTAAATTTGTCGACTGTCTTTGTGGTTTAATCGCAGTGTCATGGCTTACGTAAGACTTGCGTACAATGTTCACTCACGTATTTACTCACGTGCAGTTTGCCCGCGAAGTAACGTTAAAGTTTAATGCTGTTCTGTACTTGTAATGTGTATAATCGAGAGGAGCAAATTGAATGTACAGTTTTTTTTTCTGTCGATATACAATATAAACAACATTGTTATTACATGAACCCGCAAGCTTAGTTTCTGTACCAGCAATACTAACTACGTTAGTTCCACGGTCAGGTTTCATTCGTTCGTTGCTGATTCCCTTCAGTCTTGAAACGCCATATTAAAGTGTGTTCTCGTTTTAAATAGATGCAAAATTATGAAATCCTACGTGTCAACCGTGAGGCGGATGAGAAAAATTTCGATATACAGTATAATATTATCAAGTTGTGCGGAACAGAGCTGTCAACGAGGTTATCGTTTCGAGAGAACGTAAGACATATGAGCAATGCATGTAATTTCATCTTGTTTTACACAGTTTTAAAAGCACATTTTATAGTGATCAATGTCTGTTTACATCTGTGTTTGTTGCATCACTGCTGGCAGACATATGAGTTTAATTAGCATACATTAACTTGAAAAGACAAAGTGCGTGGTTTAAAATTAACTATAGCAACAAAAAAAGCAATCACGATCGCAGTCTGATATACTGAACGAAACCAGGTTATTGACGAGAAATAAAGATTCACTTCCAAGAGGAATTCAGTCAAAGGTGTTTCAATAATTTAATACTGTACTTACATTTTGCAACCTACATTTTGAAAATAGCCATGATATATAGTTGAAATACCTTGGTCAACATTGAATATCAAAATAATAATCAGTTGAATAACAATTAACATGCAATTATTGTAATGAAATGCAAACCTGAGCAAAAAGGTGATTACATTATAGGACTTAGGGTGATGAAAGGACCGAATTGTCACATTTAAGTGGTGTTCTGGCATGGTCTGAACTCATGATGTTTATCTTTTAACTCTAACAATGACATTAAAGATTAGAGGGGTTAATTCAAGGTCAAGGGAAACAAAAACTTGTTTGAAAAGGCATGGAGTTGACCCAAAGAAAAAATAACTTTCAATGACTGAAGAAACTCACAGGGGTTTAAGTGTAAAAAGTAGATCTTCCATTGAATCATACTAGAGACACTGTACCTCTCCAGAGCTGTCATTAAGTTTTGAGTCACCTGTTAAGCCTTGCTGTTCACACCTGTAACAAACTTGTTACTTTGTGGGTGAATTGTATCTGAACAACAGGCAACTTCTGTAGCATTAAGGAAAAATTAAGCATACTCAGCCACAACAGGTGTTACAGCCTTAACAACAGTCCTGCCTCTCCATCACAGGGTTCAGGTTACATGTTAGTCACGTCGGAATTACCAACATGATCTACACTTTCATCTGCTCTGTTGTTAGTTGCTAAGTATGCAGACTTTGCATATTTTCTGGCTGTTGTTTCTCTCCACCAAAAATGGTAACTTTCAGTCAAGTGGAAATTCAAATAATCTGCAATCACAGTTTGTGATTTTACAGCATCTAAAAAAATAATAGATATTTTTCATTATTTCGTAAATTATAATTATAAAAAAGTAATAAATCTCGTATTAAAAAAGAGGACATTCTACACACTACATTTCATAATATTTTTGTCTCACTTTAAGGTTATGTCAACTGCAAAGAGAAGGAGATGGCATATTCCTGCCTCTGTCACAGCCAAAACAACATTCAACCCAATAAGATCTATTGTAGATAGAATGAAGATAACACCAAACCCTGAGAAACAGATGATTGCTTTGTCTATTGGTAAGTTCACATGACAATGCATGTAATTAATTCCGTTGAAAAACAGAGGCAGAGAGAAGTGCTGAGTTTCTTCTACCCTAGGCCACTTTTGTTCAGTTTGTCTTCTTGATTTTTTTTTCTGAATAAATCTCAGCTCTCATTATATTATATGTAAACTATGGTATTTAATTATTGTTGTAGCCTTATGCTCCACTCGCTGGAGCAAAGAGAATGAGTGAATGAGTTAGCGAGTGATTTAATACATTACAAGCAAACATTTAGTGAAATATTATTTTTAAACATATCACTTGACAGTGATATCATGACGATATGGAAACGTTGTGCATTTTCAATATGTTGTATTTAAAAATTTTAATATGTAACACTTTTGCCAAAAACAAGTTGGAATATGATTATTTTGGATTTCTAGCCAGATTGGTGAAATTCTGATGGCTTGATCTTTTTCTTTTTTAGGGGACCCATCGGTGTTTGGAAATTTGGAACCTTGTCCTGAGATGATTGACGCAGTTGTCAAGTGTGTAAAACAGTCCAAACATAATGGATATGCTCCTTCAACAGGTAGCCACAGTCCAAGGCTATTTTATTCATTTTAATGTCCCTGTTTCAGAGAGCACTCCTGAGAGCTTACCTTGATGTGTTATTCTAACCTATCATTATTATGGCAATTTATATACCAGGTATATCTTATAGCTAGACCTGTCTATGGGTGTAACCAATATTACAAAAGGTGCCATGATACAGATTATGCTGTGATAAGACCTGACAATCTTCTGTAACACTTGACATAATAAAGCATTCAAAGATTTCACCCAATCATCACATCATTGCTCCATTAACTACTTTTTACTGCTTGTGACCTAAAACTTTCTTTAAAACAAGTAAAAGCTAGTTTATTGAAGCTTTCTGGCTTAATTCAAAACATACTATTTCAAAACAGGAATTTTTCTAAAAAAATCAGCCACTTTATTTCTATAATTAATGTATTAACTTACGCCATTATTTTGCATTGTAGGTTATATCAAAGCACGTGAGGCCATTGCTGCAGAACATTCCTTTCCCTTATCTCCAATAACTTACAAGGTAAAGATTGGATATTCAAACACTGTAATTTAGTTTAGTTTAATTTATTTGTTTCTTGTTAAGTAACTGTTACACGAATACTAACTATATTTAAGTATAGAATTAATGTATATGTATTATTTACTGCTTTATCTTAGGATGTTGTTTTGGCATGTGGATGTTCTGGCGCTTTGGAGCTCGCTCTCGATGTCCTCCTTAATCCTGGTGACAATGTTCTTCTACCCAAACCAGGCTTCTCTATTTACCAGACACTAAGTATTTCACGAGGTCATGAAGTCAGGCATTACAACCTCTTGGTAAGAAATAAAAAGATCTCTAACTACTTTGCAAAAGGATTGTTTTCTTCTGTTGTACATTTGGCATAAGAAAGATAATTATGTATTACATGTAAATAAAAAGTAATTTCACACCTAAACTAAGATCTTTTCAAACTGTACGACCTAAAAATTTTTTTTAATCTGTGGCAACAAGATGATGCCAGAATGTCATGTACTCAGTAGTGTTTAAATTTCTTTTTAAATGTTTCTATAGATCTTTAATCAATTTGTGTTATAAAAATTTAACTTGCACTTTTCATGTAACAAATAAAGGCAAAATCCTACTAATTCAAGATGGGATTCTGCCAATAAACTATAGCTGGAAGATTCTGGGTGGGATTCCACCGAAAATAATAAATTTAAATCAAATTACTCATGATCAGGTGTCAAGGCAACTACAAATACACTGTACGCAAGCCCTTTCTAAAACTGCCCGAAACTTCTCCAAGTCTCCAAATGATAAAAAAAAC